TCAGCAGCCTCCTGCCCTATTTTTAACTTGGTCTTTTTAGGAGTATGTGTCTCCACTGACCACATGTGCCACAGCTGAATCTTCTCAAGCATGGCCTCTGACAGAGAAGAGGCTTACACCTGCTCTTAAAATCCAGGGCTTTGAATTTCACTTTGGATCAAATGGCAATCAATGCAGGTCACAGACTGGCTTTTTTCTTCGCACTTTTAGAAAGAAAAGCTGCTCAATGAAAAATCAGTGTGTCAGACCTCCCTTCAGTACAAATACAAAGGTACAGTTGTTAGAGCATTTCCAACTCGGCTAAGATAGCTCTGCCTAAAACCACTATTCAGCTTTTGTGCAAAGAGCAGTCCTCAGCTCAAAATGTTCTCCAAATTCCATTCTCCATTTCCTCTCTCTCTCTAACTGATATAGAGGGCAATACATCCAATAAACGCACATGGATGCATAACTGCATATTACATCAATACTTTAATTCGGATTTATCTTCTATTTCTACATCCACTCCTTGTCAATTTATTTTTTCACTTGTGTTCTCTGCATAGTGTAAAGCCTTACAGAGTGGAAAATAATGGCACTGATATCTTTCTGTCCTTCACATAACTATGATAACACTTTTGGCTGTGAAAACCTACGACTAACACTACCATTACATTGCTGAAATAGTCTTAAAATAGGTACAGCACTTACAGCAACTACAGCTTTGAAGAAAGAAACAGAAAAATCTTTGACTGACTTGAGCAGCGGCAAGGAAAGAGCCCCCAGCAACTGCTTATGGCAGTGGTAAATCATGCAGTGCCACTATTACTCAGTAGGTGTAAAAGGTATTTCAGTTTGGAAGAAAAATTTTTTATAACTACGGAAAAACAAAGACAATGAATATAGCTCTGAACAAAGAGGAACCTTCTTCATATGTTGCTCTCTGTGCTGTCACTGAATTGTATCTGCCCCTTGGTCTCACCAGCTATGAGCAGTGCAATCATACTGTCTCATGTCCCAGCTGGCAATTTCCATGGTCCCTTCTACAGCAACATCTAGAGTGTTCCCACTCCATTTGGCCATGGATGTCTATGCTTAGTTTACCTTTTCTATCTTCATTAATTACAGGCACAGTAAAAAAGATTAATGAAAAAAAAAATTCACTAAAATTGATTTTCCTCTATACTGCAAAGCCACAGAAAAATAGGTATCAAGCAGCAATGTGATAGGAATTAGTGCCGCATTCCACTTTCCTTTGCACACAACACAGGCTCCACTTATGCTAAGAAAGCCTGAGGCAATATGAAACTGAGGTCAGAACTACTATTTGCAAATAAACAGCAAGAAATATATTGTCTGCTCTGAAGGAAGCATAAATCCTTTGGGGTTTTGATTCAGTGTTTGATTCAGTCTTCCTCCTCTTAGCTCATCTCCTTGAAGACCAGCAGCAAATGACAAAATAAAAAAGTCACCAACACTGCAAAGCATTGCAACTCTACTCTTCTTTCCGCTACTCCCTATGATAGGGCAGGCAGATAAAAAGGCCGCTGAGGAGGACAGGAGACTCCATGACCCAGACTACAGCACTTCATTTCTCTCTTCTTTGTTTCTGACTCCATGAGAGATCACCCATAGCTTCATCAACCTCAGTGGGATAAAAGGCAAAAAAAAAAGATCAGAATTCCCTCTAAAGCACCTGGAAACATCACGGAAGGGAAATACAGCAGAGAAGTCTGATGGGAGAGTAAAAGGACAGAGACATTTGCATCTGCTCTTCTTCATTGCTCTTGGCGTAATCTCCCATTGCTTATACAAGGTGATAAGAAAAAGCAAAACATAAACAGATGGACATCTTCTCTATCTTCAGGCCTTCCCTCTTCAGAATACAGATGTCCAATGACTGGTCCAGAAGCTGGATCTGACCCAGAAAATGCCTTGAAGATAATGAGCTGCATACTGAGCAACAAAGTATTTTGTTTAGCTTGGGCCAGGAGAGGGAAGTGGAGGTATGTCTGAACTGACTGGCAGGGAAACACTTTGGCACTCGTGACTCAAACAACTCTGCCTGCCCAACTCTGAATATGAACATCACTGGTGATTAGACATCAGTCAATTGAAAAAAGCATCACTCTGGCAGCTTGAAAAGTAGCTTGTTTGAAACAGCGTTAATCTCAAACACCACAGTGCTCTAGCAGAATATTCAATCAGTGTCTAGAAGTTCTGCGTGTGGTACCAGTCAGCAGTTATTGTTGTTGTACTCATCAGGAGAGACCCACGATGACATAGGACAGCAAATATCAAAATAAAAATAGGAAAAAGAAAACCAAAGCAGGAAACAGGAGCGGAACCACAATCAGACATTCTGACTATTCACCTAGAGGAAACACAATTTGCCCTTCGAGTCAAAAAACTTGCTCGAAAATGCAAAGGAAAGTATGTCATACATGGGAAATCAGCTTGGGGTTGTAATGTTAAGAAACATCAGAAGATGTTTGGGCCCCTCACTACAAGAAAGATGTTGCGTTGCTGCAACATGTCCAGAGGAGAGCAACCAAGCTGGTGAGGGGTCTGGAACACAAGTCATACGAAGAGCGGCTGAGGGAACTGGGGTTATTTAGTCTGGAGAAGAGGAACCTGAGGGGAGACCTGATCGCCCTCTACAACTACCTGAAAGGAGGCTGTAGTGAGGTGGGGGTCAGTCTCTTCTCCCTGGTAACAGATGATAGGACAAGGGGGAATGGTTTGAAGCTGCGCCAGGGCAGGTTTAGGCTAGACATTAGGAAAAACTTGTTCACCGAAAGGGTTGTCAGGCTCTGGAATGGGCTGCCCAGGGAGGTGGTAGAGTCCTCATCCCTGGAGGTATTTAAAAGAAGGATAGATGAGGTGCTTAGGGACATGGTTTAGTGGTGGGATGGCAGGGTTAGGTTAATGGTTGGACTTGATGATCTCAAAGGTCTTTTCCAACCAAAGTGATTCTATGATGTGGTTCACTGAATGGTTGGGTGGCGGGGTGTTATTCATACAACATAAGGAGTAGTCTCCTGCCAGTTATACTAGACCTGACCATCTTTTCTATGCTCCCCTCCTCCCATACACACACAACTTAAAGTTAAGTGACTAAAAACGTGGGGGGAAAATGAAGAGGGCAGCAAGCACAGGCTGCAAGGAGGAGTTTCACCACCCAGATCCAGACCTCGTGTCCCAGCTCCGAAGGAGTTACCCAGGGCCACTCTCCTGCAGTGCTGGGCAGCCTGGGACTCCAACAAAATCAGCTGGACTTTCAGCACCATTGTCAAAAAACCAAACCAAACAAGAAAAACCGCTAGGCTCTTCACAGTTGTTTCCCTCCCTATGACTTTGTACAGATTTTTTTACTATTTTTTTTTTCCAGAAGAGTGAATTTAAATTATTTGACATCTCAGTGGTAACACAGCTTCAGTACTCCAGCTACAAAAGGTGACAACTACAAAAAAAAAAGTTTAACCGCTTAACATTCACATCTTTGAACTGCTGCATGAAGTGCTACAAAAAAGCTAGATATTGTTAGAAATGTCTTGGGTTTGTTTATCCTGTCAGCACCCCTTTCCACGCAAAACCACTGCTTGGTGACATTAACAGGAACATAATAGTGGGGTTTGTAGCAGAATATTAAAATTGAAGGAGCTTTCAGTTTCCCTTTATACAATTACCTCAGCAATAACAGCAAGCATATTGAACTCACACCACCAATCAGAAAATTCATGCTTGGGACAGCAAAGCATTGGAAATGATCGTCAGACCCTAGATACTTCTTATGTAACTGGACTTAGCACTGCTAACTACAGAGTCTATAAATCAGTTTCTCTACAAAACTCTGAAATCATAGGTGCCAAATACAAATATTTTTCTCATAATCCCATCCTTGATCTTTTCATGTTGTTATTGGACTTATTCTTAGTTACATTGTTGCTAAAATAAGTTGCTCTTTTTTTCCTACAAAATTTGCCAAACCCACTGCTGGAATGCATTTGTATTGTCCTCTTACTAGGAGAATTCCTGTAACATTCCCATTGACCTAATTGCAGTTTTTGGCCTGAAAAGATGACACGTTTGTGTGAATCTGGTAAAGCTGTTGAAACAGGGATACTAGAAGTGAAGTACCCTTCTGGCCCCTTTCATCAAGCTCCAGGCTGAATCCCCTTAGGAATGTGATGGCATTTCTTCTCCCTGCTTTTTTCTAAAATCCTATTCTAAGCTGCTTAAAAAAAAAAAAAAAAAGTTCAAAATCTGACTGAAATAGCCCAGAAACTTAAGTAAAGACAGCTGGAAAGATGAAAGGGTGATAATGTTTAGCTGCAAACCAAGCGACATGTTCCAACAACTGGCAGGGACTAAATTCTGTCCCAGAAATGTATGTTATTTCACCTGTCATTAAAGAATACAGTGTCAGTGGGGAAATCTCTGAAACCACAATACAATTTCATTGTTATAAGTCTCTCTTTGGAAAGCATTATCATTACTCAGAGAAAAACAGAGTTTTCATATTTATATGCCCTCAGCATGGTAACTGTTACAGAAAACTTCCCTTAGAGCAGGAAAAGAAAACAAAAAAAATTACAGGATGAAATTGATTGTTCAGAGATAGTTTAAAGCCTTGGTAGATACCATATGCCATCATTAGGCAAGCTGTTCAAATGCAGCAATGTTATATGAAAAACACAAGCAATATCATGTCCTGTATTAGATTCAAAACACAGCTTGCAGAGCCTCCAACCCAAAGCAGCTCCTGTTTTTGCCCCTGCTGCAAACGAAGCTCGCTCTGGGCAAAGTCCCATTTTATGGTACAGACAGTGCCTTTGACTTGTATCCTTTAACCTGGTGAAAACCTTAGATGTGCCCCCAATCCCATTTAGAGTCACAGACCAGGGACACATACATAACCGTGTCTCGGCTGTATCGGTGTGCTGTGTTCCCAACATATTTCTAGCTATAAGATATACTCCTAATTTCCTAAGCTTCTGTCGCCGTAGCAGCTTCCTTACCTGCGCAGATCTTCCCATCATAGATCTCACACACCCAGTCGTGGCACTCGCAGAGCGGGCCGTAGTATTTGCCGGACTCGGTCACTTGGCAGATGCAGACTCCACACTCGCATCTGCCTCTGTCGCTGCACAGCTTCCCCCCGGGGACGCGGCACCTGAGCTCCGACTCCGTCCGGGACAGCTGGCACGAAGAACTACCCAAACCGCTCCTGAGGAGGACAGCAAAGAGAACAAGCTGTGGGCAAAGCCAGGGGCTGCGGCTCACAGCCGATGAGAGCTTGGCTCATGGGAAACCACCTCCTGCCATGGCTTCAGCCGATCCCCAGAATATTGTTTCTAACTCCACCACTTTAGTTATGGTTGTAAAATGTTACTTGCCTCAAATCACTCAATTTTCTCCTCTTTCATCAGAAATCTCATTGCTACCTGTGGGAATACTTGTATTTTACCTACCTTGTTTAACTGCATTAGGCTCATCTTCTTTTTCATTACGCATATCTGATATATATGCATATACATGTATAGTTTGATTATCTACCAGGAAAAATTTTGATCTGAATCATTCCAAAAGGTTTAGAAAAGATGTATACATCCAAGCATCTAGGTAGCATAACAGGAATATACGATACGAAAAAGCAAACCTATGGCTGATTCTAATAAAACACATTTGCCAAAGTAATCCTTCCGGTTGTCAGATAGAGAGGATCCACGCTTTCATCGGAAAGGGAAAATGAAGTAATCACTGCTTTCCATGCAACAGTGTAGTTTGTGGCAGTGGTTTTAGTAAAGTGAGCAGAGCCCGGATACTAGATCTGAAGTTTTGCAGCCCTGCCATGCAATTGTACCATTTTAAGTACATTTTTGTACCACTTTCAGGACATACCCAGGGAAAATCACAGGTTGCCTCATCAGCAGCTGGATTGTAGGAAAAAAGAACAAAGGACTGGCCAAGCCAAAAAGAGGTCGTCGCGCCACTAGGGAATACTGCGGGTTCAGGTTACCAGCACCTGCACTTCTCCGATGCTAGATTTTGCAGGCTCTGGAGCAAAGGAGGTGCTGGCCCCGGTGGGGGGAAGACCGAAGGGCAGTGTGCCTTGCTGTGCCACCATGCCGACGAGCAGGGGCACCCGGAGTTTTGTGGTTAGGTGCCTGCTCCACTCAGGCAGTGGAATTCAGAGATTTGGGTGTAAAGTCATCACTATCCAACGCTTCTACCTTCACTGCTTTAAAGATCTGCATCTCGGGTATGAAATACATCACTGCAACAAACCCCCGCAGTGTACATGACACCTCTTTAGGTTCCCAGCGACCCAGAGCACTTTTAAGCAGGCAGAAGAAGAGCTTGCAAACCGCTCCACCGCTCCCTCCGCAGCCCCAGCCTCCACACTCCTGACATCTCGTAAATCAGTCGCAACCCCCTGGGAGGCTTCAGAGCCGCACTTACCGCAGGCCCCGGCAGCCCCTGTGCGTACATGGCGCGAGCTGCGCTACACCGCACCTGGAGCGCTCCCGCAGACGGACAGCTGGACAGACAGCCGGACAGACCCGCCGGGCGTGCGGAGAGCTGTGAGCTGGACAAGCCCAGCTCCAGGGCTGCTCCCCCTGTGCTGCAGTGGCTCTGATTAGCTGCCTGGGAGCGGGATTTGGGCAGCGCTCTGGGAGGGAGGCCGGTGCCAAACCCCGAAGTTTACAGTCTAGGCAGGGAAGTAATTAGAAACAGTTGCGCGGCCAGATGGTTTATTTTGATGTTTTAAAAGTGGCCCGTTCACAGATGTGAACGAACTGTCTCCCTCTCCAAGTGCAGGCACCGTAAATATTTGAGGTATGTGTCTCCATCCCTGTCCCTCTGATGGATGGCTGCTGGGGATAATCTGTGTAACGGTGGTGGAAACGTGCACGGCTGAGGAGGCAGGACCAGTGCTCCCCAGCCGCAGCATCCCTGCCTGGCTGCTGGAGCGCCTCCCTCCCGCCTGCCTCCCCAGGTCCCTCCCTCCCCTCCTCTCCCCAGGGTGACCTGCTCCCCGCATCGCACTGCGCGACACGGCAGGCTGCCAACCTGCACCGGCCTGAGTGACCGCAAATTAAAAAATATTATTAGTTAGACGTTTCCTAATGCCTCATTAAAACGCACAGCACAATGCTTCATCGGAGCAGTGGGAGATTTTGGAAGTGCTTCAAACTAAACTAAAATGAGGGGTAGTCTCTCCGAATAAGTGAAATTTGTCAGGAATGGCTATGTGCATTTCTTTGTGCTACGGAAAAGTTGCGACACTTTTTGACCCCTCTCGTTGTCCTGGGAAATTGCTGATTGCCCAGTAACTCCCTGGGAGGAAAAGCTCTTAAAGAAACAAATTTCCACCACACAAGACAGTAGGATATAGGTGTTCTAGCCCACATGCACACACGTGTGCATTTTTAAAGCAGGCAGCTGACAGAAGAAACTTTCACTGGTTCCAGAGCCTGTACTGGAGATTAAAGGCCTCAGTAGCTTTCTCAAAATGAGTAACTCCTGTTTTATTTTCATATTAAGTATCTGGTACACCACAGATTATACCGTTCTAGAAAACATTTTAAGATTTGGTTAAAACTCCTTTGACTCATAGGGTGCCTTTCCCAAAAGTGTAATTAGGTGTCTTACATTTAACACAGTGAACTCAAGGGTACAATTCCCAGGATGCCTGCTAACATAACTAGTGCTGCTCGTGATCTTCCTGCAAAAAAAAAAAAAAAGACATTAGACATTTAACTGCTCTTCTGGTCCTGTAGATGCCAAAAGAACCTTTGAAGCCCAGTTTGGGGCCCGTAAAATCCGGTTTTCAGCCAAGTACCCATGCAACTGAAATATAAACTTTAACTGAATGACGAAAGAAGAGACTGAACAAAATCTGTTCCAGCATATTTGTAAAGAGACAATCTTATTGTAATTGTATTATTACAGTTATACAGGTTAAAACGAAATGTGATTCCAATGCACTATTAAAAGATAAAACTTTTATTTTAATAGGTTATCCTGAAGTTGTGAAGTGTAAAACTTTGCTATTTGTAGTGTACTATCCTCTACACGGCACATAATTTTGCCCTAAAACATGAACAAGGAAAATCAGAGGAAAAAAAACCCCTCAAACCCCTGTATATAGCCGTTGCACATCATATACTAAATCTCTAACAGTTTTGCTGCCCCTTATAGTGCATTTCACATTGCAAATAAATTACAGAATATTTTCCTGCAATGCAGCTGGTAAAAATCCTGCATTAAGAGTGTTCTGTTGGTTTCAATCTTGCGAATGCTTACAGTTGGGCTAACCTCATGCGTTTGACTTTGATGGATCTAGTAGTAAGTAATTATTGTGGTAAGTAATTATTGGCAGGCCTTTATTTTTGACAGTCCTTGAAGTCCATGCTTCATGCAGCACTATGTGTTCTATCTGTGTGACCGTTTTTCAAATTTATTTGTAGTGCTATGATAGAAAAATAAATAATTAAACCCTCTTAGATTCAAAAAGGGATCACTTCTAAGAACAGTAGTCAGAAATTGTGCTGCCAGAAGTCTGGAGTTAGAGAAGAATAAATAGAAAGCTTTGCATTTTAAACAATAGTAATTCCCTTTTGGCACTAAATTTATTTTTAATCCACACACTAAAATGTTGCCATCTGTTCATCTTCCTCCTTTCTCCCTGTGCAGACTGGTGCTGATAGGTATTCACAAGACCTTCAAGTAGCCTGTAAACTATAACTTCAAATGTACTGGGAGAAGACATCCATCATGATATGTTGACCTTATCACTCTCTTACGTTTTATTTATTTACATCTGTTGAGGCTTTAAGCAATACACACCTTTTGGCTGTGGACCTTTTGAATTTGGAAGCATGCGCAGTTACACAGTCCAAGGGGGCAGTATTTAAAATGTGCACCCAGAGCTTAAGTTTAATAATTGCTTTCATGTGTACGTGCCTCTAATACTATATCTCACTGCTCCCTTACTGGATTTTAACCTTTGCTCAGATCTATTATTTAATCATTTAAGCCTAGAATGCTTCTATGCATGCATTTACATATATATGTATATATGCACACTAGATGTGTTTATACTCGGGAGCTAAGTGGCTCCCAAACAGACTGTAAATACAATTCAAAAGGAAACAGTCTCTTTTTAAATGAGAACCTGTCTTGAGGACACTGTCTTGAGGACTGCTTGCTTCCTTTCAGCCACTCCTGCACATAACCTTAAGGAGCTTTGTTCTCTACTGGATAACATACACCTACGTGAAGTAGAGCGCTCATGAAATGCTACTTTTCCTACATATTGGAATTTCAGACTAAGGCTTCAGACCTCTAGGTGCGTGGCAGATGTACGCTTTACACATTGTAATGCGACTACCTGCAGAGTAAAGGTAGAGAAGAGAAAGTCAACGCAACGCTGAGGAGGAGGAGCAGGAGCTGGAACACACTGGTAATGCTGAACAGCCTTTTAAAAGTAGGCAATAGGTTTAAACAATACTTGTCAGACAAGAAATGTCTTCCAATAAATATGTGGAATCAAGAAAATAAGTGCTGCTACACACACCTACATTTGAACCTCAGTTTAAGTATATCACTATTAGTGTTCTTATTAAATGTCTGCAGGATTTGGTATGGTCAGAGATTGGGATTAGCCTTTCTTCTGTATTTTTATTTACCAGGAGAGGAACCAATGGTGTAATTTCCTATCCAAACTAGTAATGGCTCTTCTGTGGTTTCATAGTCTTCTGAACTGTCAAGAAGTGTGATGTAACATTATGTGTGAAAACCAAGTTGGAAACCCTGGGATAGACTATATAGCAGTGATTTTGTTAATTTTTTTTTAACTGTGAGGGACTGAAAGAATTAATGTACGTTGATGTCTCAAATGGTTGCGGCAAAGCAGGTTGTGGTTTGCATGGCAGTGGGGACCACAGGTGAGGGATTGCTTGGCGCGGGATACGGGGAGTGTTCCGGAGGGTGCGCAGTTCTGTGTTCTAATAGGCCCGCAGTTCCATCTTTGGACCGGCCCAAAATGACAACGTGCTATATGTGGCTGGAGGTCATGAGGAGTTTATTTGAGGAAAGGGCTCACAACCGCCCAAAAGACCCTTCGTGACCACCCTCCTACAGAGGCATCTGTGCAGAAGACCAAGAGTTATGTGAGCCCTCGAGAGACAGGAACTAGACTACAAAAGGGCACAACTCCAAGGAGCCACATGCACGCCCATCACCGAAGGATTACCACGTTCATCATCGTCATCACAGGATCCAAGGGTGGTGATCTCTCTCCCTCTCTCTCTTTCCCCTTTTCCTCGCTTTCCTTTTCTTCTCATAAACGTCTCAATAGGACCCACACCATCTGCCATTACGCTTTCCCAGTTCAAGTTGCTTCTACCACAAATAAAATGGTTAACCAATCATTTGGTGTCATTTCACCTCAGTTTAGTCCAAGGGAATCACAAACTTACTATTACCCCCTGAGTTAACCAGTCTGG